TTTTTGTTTGTATTTTTTTTATTAGCCTCCCCCCCCCCCCCCTTTTTGTTTTCGTTGTCTTTAAATGCAGCTATTCGGAGGAAAGAAAATGGCTGGTATGATGAGGAGCACCCGCTGGTCTTTCTTTTCTTGGGATCATCTGGAATAGGTAACGTCTGGGTTGCAGTGAGAGGGACGGAGAGCCCCATGTCGCAGCTGGGCTGGGAGAGGGGGCTGCAGCAGGGCAGCTCCTCAGGCTCAGCACAGGCCTGCAGCGCTTTTCACAGGCTCTGCATAAAATACCAGCTAAAGATGCTGTAGTCCTTCCAACTGGTTACCCAGTCCATCGTCCCACAGGGCAACCACCACCAGACTCCAGCACACACAGCCACATCCCACGCAGGGGCATGAGCAGCCTCACACTGAATGATCCCAGGGGACTGTCTGCCCTCCAAGTCTCAAGAAGGGGCGGTTTTCACAATAAAAGTGTTATTTTAACAGCCCTGTGCTTTCCAGCAGGAATGCCTCCATGGGTGGGGTAATAGTAGAAATTTGCTGCTTGCAAACTGAATCTCTGCTCATCTTGCTCCTGTGGGCAAGGATTGCTTTGTAATGACAGGATTTTATTGACACCGATAATATTTGTCCTCAAGCACAATAAAATGCAACATGACAGCTGATCAGTTCATGAAATGGACAAAATGACTTTTAGGGAGGAAAAAAAAATGCAGCTTTAAAGTAACCAAACTGTGACATTTGAAACAACCAACCTCAGTGCTTCTCCTGCATCCACTGACTCCCGTGGTCCTTGGGAAGATGCCGGTGCTGGAGGGGTTAAGGCAACGGGACACACACAAGGATTGCTGCCTGACCAGGCTCCTGCCTCAGAGCAGTGGCAGGCCAAGTATTAACTCTAAATGACTTGCTATAAAGCTGTATAAAAACAGTAAGAAATGTTTTTGAGACTTCATTGCCCTGCTTATAGCAGGTCTGAAGGCTTAGTAATGTAAATTGTCAGCTCTTCAACTCCCATGTATTTCCGTGGGGTTTTTTTTCCTTCTTTTACTGCCATAAAAATGAATATTGAAATAAGAAAGCAAAGCAGCTGAGAATTTTATTGTCTCAAATGGATATTTTAAATAGGGCTTGAAGTAACAGCAGCCTGAAAGCCCAAATATGTGCAAACTCATATCTAATATGTCTTCACATTTCAGTAGATTCCCACAGCAGTTAAGCACTTTAAAGATCCATTCGTATATATGTATATACAATATGTATAAGTACACATATATACCTATATGCTTACACATTGGGATCTACAATATAGCAACATACGAAGTCAACAAAGCTTGAACTGAAGTAAGATGCTAAATTTTGGCAGAGATTTTACCTGCCAGAGCAGGCTTCCGAGCACGGTGATGAATTCCTATTTTTGCAGCCCTTTTGTGGTGATCTGGTTAAGTGATCCTGCAGATCTGACCCACCCAATCTATCGTCACCAAAATACAGCTGTGTCAGGGTGGGACTGGGGCAGATGTGTAATACTCCAGTATATTTTTTAGCTAGTTTGGTTTTTAAGACACAATTTTTTTATTTGGTATAGTTGTTTATAGCATGTCTATGTGCCTGCTCTCTGCCCTAACATGTCAGAGTGTTTATTTTTCAGCGTGCAGTTAAATCTAAAATGAATCTATGTGGAGAGCAGATAGCACATGGGCTTCAGACGGTACGCGAGGTACTGTTGTAAACCCACAGAGCATCCTCCGTGGCTGTGAAAGGCTGCACCTCACCTTTGCTCATAATCCCAGGAGCCGAAATAGCCAAATCCTCCACCTGATAAGCCCAATAAACTCAGCAATTACGTGCCAGTGGGTGGCAGCAGGGAAGAGGGGTTTGCTGGCAGAGTGGGGGATATTTCCCACACGGAGTAGCGCCTGCCTGTTTAATGAAGTTTTTCCCTGAATGGATGGGTTGGGAGGACAGGATCTGGCCTTTTGTGAGCTGCTGTGTGTATTCATCGGTGTCAGTGTGGATTTGCTCCATTACTGATTGTTCCTAATCCTAGAATTTTATGACAGTTGCCTTATATATATGAAAGAAGGAAAGAATATCCCGTTTCCCTGAAATTCGTTATCTAGAGAGCAAAAGACATTGCTTATGAAACCGAGAATAGTGATAGTAAGTGTAGCAAAAGCCTGATCTAACCACACCTTTTTGTGGAAAAAAAATAAAGATCTCTCTGCCCATCATGTAAGAATCAACTATTAAAAATGAAGCAGCTGGCACTGTGATACTGCTCTCCTAATCAAACCCTTAACTGTGTCCTGCCCAGGGCTCTCATCAGGGTATTATCCCAGGGATCTGACAGTGATACCCTCTTCCCACGAGTGCATTTTGCAGAAAAAAATATGTGTATCGGTTACAGGAGGTGCTAGCCCTGGTGTTAGCACAGCTGACGGACAGACAGATGGTGGACAAATGTGGTTTAACGCGAGTCTTTTATTCCTGTCTTTGGAACAGGTAAAACCGAGCTCGCCAAGCAGACAGCCAAGTACATTCATAAGGATGTCAAAAAGGTAATGCCTCTTCACTTTTTGCCGTCCGGGTGCTTTTAGTAATGGGGTGGGTTTGGTTTCTTGGTGGCAGGGTCATTGTCTGGCTTTGCTAGGCTGGGAGTCCAGCTCACTGGTCAGCCCGGCTGCCTTGCAGCACGCTTAATTCATCCGTAGAAGAGAAATGTGAGGTCTGTCTGTGCGCACTGAGAAAGGGCCTCAGCTGCGTTAAAATGAACCTGTGAAGGTTCCTGTCTATGTTACCAGTATATTTGAATTGTAAAAATCTAAATGGATTTAACAATATCTTGTGTTCCCTGTTTGAGGTTGCTGTCATTTTGACATCCTGTGTTGTGAACGTATTTTTTTGCCTCTGTTACTAATAACACTGTAAATTGTTAGAAGGATAAAATACTGAAAATCCGTTTTACGTGCCCCTAGCTGCACCACTTGTCGCATCGTACCAGTACGGCGGTAGAGGTGGTGGCATTGATTTTGCGCGCGGGTTCTTAGTGCTGAAATGTTTCAAACAGCAGAAACTGTTTGTGTAGTTTAGTTTGTTATCCACTTGGCAGTGTTTAGTGAAGATGGGTTAGAATTATATCTAGGTGGTGGTGGCTTAGTAGGGGGATAGTTCAGGGATGTCTGAGATTTTAAAACACCAAGCTTTTAAAGCCAGGCTCCCCAATTCACATTTAAGTCTCTGCCTACCTTTGGGACATGCCTAGCTGTCTCGCGTGGAGATCCGGGGAAGGTGCGGAGGTTGGAGCCGGGGAAGAGGAGGAAACACAAACAGAGCTGCCCCCTGCGCCGACAATAGATTAATTCCTCTCCCCCACATCCTCCGGCAGAGAACGGACGCAAGATAAAATGACATGTGTAGAAAGAAGATCAAAAGTAAAACAACGCTATAAAAAACGGCTGTTCTGGTTTCTTTTCCTCATCCTTCTATAATTGCCTTCCAGAAGCAATAAATCCTGGCTCCTGCGTCCCAAGCACCTTCATCCCTGACTCCCGCACCTGGAACTGGTCAAAGCCCGGCCAAACATCAAATGGAGAAATCAGTTAAACACTGAATGTTGTGTTAATTCAATAGCATGCACAAATCGGAGTTTTATTGGTAATGAATCAGCTTAGCCGTCAGTGCTGTAAGGAGTGGTGTGATGGGGGGTCATAAACCCCATGGGCAGTTATGGGGGTGCAGCAACTCGCAGGAACTGACGGATTAAGAAAGGAAAACCCATAACCGTCCCATTTTCATACTGCTAGAGAGGCTGCAAGGTAATGACACATGCTAACTTCTTTGTCCAGCCTGCGTGGTATGAACACGGAGGCAGGAGGATTGGGAGCAGGATCAGACCAAAGCAAAGCAGGTCCTGCAGAGCCCGGCTCCACTTTGCTTGTGCCAGCTGTTTGCCAGGATGTTGGTGGGACACTCCTCAGCATGCATGCCGCCAGGATCACACCCCAGTTTTGTACACCTCACTTTGCCCTGGGCATTTTGTTGGTATTTTAATATTTTGCAGGGAAATGTGGCTGTTTCGAATTGAAATCTGTCCTAAACTGGCCTGAAATCTTACCACCCCACCCCGCAAATACTGGTATTTCACAGGAGAGTGGCAAACCAGGCACTCCATCCCTTGGAAGTTCATGGCAGCACCATCTTGGTTTGGTGCCCCAAGGCATCACCCTGGACCAGAAAAGCTTTGGGCTCCCTGTGTGCTGCCAAATGTCCTGCCCATTAGCTCTGAAGCTGAATATTCAGGCTTGCCTTCTTCTTAGGCAGTTGGACTGGATGATCATTGTAGGTTCTTAGCAGCTGAAATACTCTATTCTATTCTATTCTATTCTTGTACCTCTAGGAGCTAGATTATAGCTGCAAGCCCAGGAAATTCAGTGTCTGCAGTGAATCATCAGCTTTTCAAATGCAAAAAGGAACCTTGGGTAGTAGCTGTAAATTCTCTAACAATATTATCTATTTAAGGTGATCACCCACAAACCTAGTTTACCTCGGCTTTATGATTTTGATTTTTATTTTATTTTTGCAGAGAGGCATTGCATTCTTCTTGTGATTTATTTCTAAAAAGCTGAACTGCAAGAATATCCATTTTATTTAGCAAATTGTGAGTTGCTGTTTCAGTCCCATCTGTATCACTCCAGCTCTAGCAACAAGCAGTGTCTAAAGTGAATCTCGGCCGGGGGCTATGAGCTGGCAGTGGGAACTGTTCCTGTCTCTCTTTGAGAAACTGCAGTCATCTTCCTCTTCCTCAGAATAACCCTCAGAACTTTGTGGTGGATCTGGCCACTCCAGTGCTGGCTGTCCTGGGGAACCACAAAACCTTGTTGTGTTCATCTGTGCAGCCACCTGCCTGGTTCCGGAGGAGCCTTCTAAATGTAATGAAACTTGGAGCACATTCATCAAAAATCACGTTAAGAGTTTCTTTCTCTTGCAGGGTTTCATCAGACTGGACATGTCGGAGTTCCAGGAGAGGCACGAGGTTAGTAAATGGGCTGTCTCTGCTTCCAAGGGGTGCAGCTTCAAGTTTAATGGGTAATTTAAACAAATCCTGTCAATGCCCTCGTTCCCCTGCATTTGGTTCCTGTCCTTGGCAGTGCTGAGCATCTCCCTGCTGCCGCTGAATGTTACAAGCATCTCCTGTCTCATCCTGGCAGTGGCCTTCCCGAACTACTTCCACATTCTCCAGAAAATGGGCAGTTTGATGTGTCAAAGACAGAGCAATAGCAGTTGCTCCAGGCTCTGCAATAAATTGCAATATGGGAAATACCAGCCAAAAAAAGCAAGTTTAACTCAAAAAAATTAGGAACAGAGACCAAGGAGCAAGAAAAGCTCCAATAATTTGTATCTGATGCTGTGGCTCCTGTACACAGTGTCAACCCTTTGGGGAAGAGTGACTGAGAAGAAATCATATTGTGCATGAAAATCTGCAGTCTGGGCACAAGCCACGTGCTGTATGTCACCCACCTGTGCCAGGGCTGTTTGTGCACTCCTGCCTGGGCAGGCAGAGCTCAGCCCAAAGCCCCATTCCCTTCCTTACCTCCGACACATTGCTGAGTCTGGTGCAGCATCATCGCCTCAGCGTACCTCCCACCGGGGAAAGGAGGAAAATCCAGCAGAAGACAGGATTGTGGTGCAGAGTCCACCCCTCCCGTCACACCTTCTGCCCAATTCTGGTGCCCCAGGAGAGGTGGGACATCTCACCAGGTTCACCCCTGGGGCTGGGGGGGCCCTAAATCCCTTTGGAGGGCTCCGTCTCCCCAAAAAGCAGCAAGGTCCTAGCTGAGATAGGTTCATAATATTTTTCTTTTGATGGCTGTGTAGGAGCCTTGTATTTTTTATTGATGCCAATGGGGAAGTGCACCCAAATCCAGAAAGCATGGGATGAGAAATATTCCATGAAGGATCTGAGGATCATTCCCATTGGAGCTGCTGCATTGTTGTACGGAGACAGGGAAGAAGGAGGAGGAGGACTCGCTGGCTGGGACCTGGGAAGATGGTGTCTTGGAGGAGGAGGAGGAAGGTGCTGGGGAGTTGCTCAGAAGGACCGGTCCAAGATGGGAGTACTTATTTTTTTGCATTTCTTGCTGCTGAGGTCTGCAGCCAGCCTCCGGCCCGTACACACCAGGCTGCAAGCGGGCAGGGGTCAGGCAGACCCTCACACTCAGCATGTCACGCTGACAAGGGCTGATTCGAGTTTTGACCTGGCACGAGGCAGTGGGAGCCTCAGCACCATCGTCAGGAACTGCAGGGCCCTCAGATGGCCAAGGCTAGAAAAGGTCCAGAAAATATGTTATTTTGTCCAAAGCAGTAAGGTGAAGAGGTGTGGGAAGAGAAAATAAAGACGTGCTTGCTGCTGGCCTGATAGATTGGTTATGATAGGTTCCTACACTGTAGGAGTCAAAAATAGATAAAAATAAAGCCATGTTGATGATTCAGTACAAAGAAAGAGGAGTTAGGAGTAGCAGTATAAATGTAAGATATAAAATACTGTGCCCTGACAAAGACAAGAGGCAGAGCAAAGGGAATGAATAAAGTAGAGAATTGCAGCGAAAACAATATAAATTTTTCAAGCAAACAAGGATCAGGAGGTCAGCCCAGGAGACGGCATCCTTTGAAGGAGCCTGGGGAGCCTCACGTAGCCCCAGGCACTGTGAAACGAATGCAACGAATTAGCTGCCATCGGCTAATTCTTCTCTGCTGTTCCCGAGTCAGCGGGACCCCCCGCACCTCCACAGCCCGTGTCTGTGGGAGCGGGCAGGGGCGGCAGCAGCGGTGCAGGGCAGCGATGCTCGGGGAAGGGGGATCGCAGCTCTCCCCGGGCAGCCTGCCCATATCGCTCAGCAAAAAGGAGCCACTTGAATGGGAGAACCATAGAACCACGGAATGGTTTGGGTTGGAAGGGACCTTTCAAGGTCACCTAGTCCAACCCCCCTGCCGTGGGCAGGGACATCTTCAACCAGATCAGGTTGCTCAGAGCCCCGTCCAGCCTGACCTTGAATGAGTCCAGGGATGGGGCATCGACCACCTCTCTGGGCAACCTGGGCCAGGGTTTCACCACCCTCAGCGTAAAACATTTCTTCCTTATATCTAGTCTGAATCTGCCCTCTTTTAGTTTAAAGCCATTACCCCTTGTCCTATCACTACAGGCCCTACTAAAAAGCCTGTCCCCATCTTTCTTACAAGCCCCCTTTAAGTACTGTAGTACTTTAAGTACTGCCATAAGGTCTCCCTGGAGCCTTCTCTTCTCCAGGCTGAACAATCCCAACTCTCTCTCAGCCTGTCCTCACAGCAGAGGTGTTCCAGCCCTCTGATCATTTTTGTGGCCTCCTCCAGACCCGCTCCAACAGGTCCGTGTCTTCCCTATACAAGTTAGGTGCTTAGTTAGAAGCTGCCGTGGCTTCTCTCCTCTGCCAGGCCCACGGAGCCAGGCTCACCGAAAGGGGACACACCAGCACGGCTGTGCCATGGCACATGCGGCTTTTGTCATTCACCAACACTGACACCACGACACACTCGCCCTTGAGCTGTGCTGCTTCCTTGTCCTGGATTAAGGAGAGGAAATTTCTTTGTCTTATGAGGATTTGGGATTTTGCTCCACGAATTGCTTCTGCTGCCCATACAGCCAGCCGGCCACTGACTCTGCATGTCCAACGTCCCAGAGAACAACGTAGGATTAACAAAGTGACTGATAATTTTGTTCTTTTCAACTTTTATACACCTAAAGACGCATACACAGACCCTGGTCACTTGAAAATGCTCCAAGCTGTACATCAAAAATCACTTGTCATTTTTGCCAAAACATTTCTATTGTCAGAAATATTCTTCTAAATAATCCTCTAAATTTTTTAACCAAAGAATCATGATGTCAAGTAGTGAAGTCAGTTATTGACACAGGAAAAATATTTCCATCGTGGCCTCTTCCCAAGCTTTGATTCCCCACCAGAGCCACCTGCCACTCATAATCCTTTGAATTCTTGCTCTTAAAAAGGCTAAAGGAGATGAAAATAGGTCTTGGACAGCTGGGATGGGTCACTCAGACACTGCTTAGAAAAGCAGGGGTGATGCCTTTTCGCCTCTCCGTGGCTGCTCCTGCAGATTCTGCTGGGTAAAGCTCTGGGCAAGGTAATTGCTTGCAGCAGCCACCAATCTGCATTTTGCCAAATTGTTGCTTATTAAGCTGATTTGGGGATACCCAGGGTGCGATAGATGTCACAAAGAATATAGAGCTTGATTTGTCTGCAGCAAAGAGTCGTGGCTGCCTGCTGAGCTACCGATAGCGTTCCTGGCACCCACGGATCAGCTGTCACGTGTCCTGTTGCTTCCTCTTAGGTCGCCAAGTTTATCGGCTCTCCACCTGGCTACGTGGGCCATGAAGAGGGCGGGCAGCTCACCAAAAAGCTGAGGCAGTGTCCAAATGCTGTGGTGCTCTTTGATGAGGTTGACAAAGCCCACCCAGATGTCCTCACCATCATGCTGCAGCTGTTTGATGAGGTAAATCCACATTTCAGGGTCAGGGTTTGCAGAGGGGCTGTTTGGAAGGTGACAGTGAGTGATGCAAGGGACGATGGCTGCAGGAGATGTCCTGGAGCGGAGCTGAAATGCTCTAGATCAATAGTCCCTTCCAAAAAATGTGACCCAGCCAGTCAGCATCTTCTGCATTTTAGCATCAGGAAACAGGGTGATGCTGAGGTCTCCTGGTGGAATAAATGACATCTTCAGGCAAAGAAAAAGCCAGTGATGGGAGGGTTAGAAGCTTGAGAAAGAAACTTGGGAATCAGATTGTCCCATGTCACCGTGAAGGCATGACGGTGAAGACTGTCATGAGGATACTGCTAAAAAAAACGCCCCAGTGACAGCTCAGTGTGGGAATAGGTGGGCAGGGCAGAATAGGGTCCAGGACAGAAATCAGGAGTAACAAGAGGAGGCAGGAGGACAGCAGCCCTGTTCCCATGGGTGCCCTGTGCCCACCCCCCATGTACACTTCCATGGCATGGAGGAAATCGTCTCCTAGGTCCCAGGCTCAGGTCAGGGTGTTGTCACAACATCAGAAAAGCAGGGTGATTGGGGGACTTCATAGTCCATTGGTATCCTAATGAGTCATGTCTTGTTAATTGCTGGGTTTTAGTTCAGGTTGGTTAATTTATGACTTCTCAGTTGGCATGTGATTTGTCTCACACCCTTCCTCCCCCAAACATAGAATCATAGAATGGTTTGGGTTGGAAGGGACCTTAAAGACCGCCTAGTTCCAGCCCACCCTGCAAAACCATTCAGCTGACTACCTAGGAGGAGTCTGGGGCTGCTTCCCAGGACTTCAGCTGTCTCCAGAGGAAGCCAGAAGATTCTTGGAGATGCCTGGGAGGAATCCTGAAGAGCTACTGGCATGGACCTGCCTTAACATACACAAAACTCCTCAGGTAGCTACCTTGGAGGAGTCAGGCTCCCGAAAGCATTGTGTATGTTGGGGAAGGTCCATGCCTGGTAGCTCTCCAGGAAAACTCCCAGGCATCTCCAGGAGTGTGTTGGCCTCCTCTGGAGGCAGCCAAAGTCCCAGATAGAAGCCCTAGACTCCTCCAAGGCAGCTACCCAAGGAATTTTGTCGATGTTAGAGGCAGGTCCGTGCCTGTTAGCTCCCTGATACTCCTCCCAGGCATTTCCATGCATGACACTACCTGATCCTGCTGGCAGTGGGAAGGAGAGCAGATACCTGCTGTCTGAGGAAGGCAGCACAAAGTCTGTGACTTTGGAGTCCTTTGCTGTCTGCTGGTCTCTGGGAGACACTTGGCATATGACCTGTCTTGGGCAGCTGCAGCTCTCTTGCACGAGCTGGTGGGAGCCAGGGACAAATGCGCGTCTCCAGGCTTTGCACCTTCTGCTGAGCCTTCAGCCTGTTGCATGCAAGCTTTTCGGTTTATTTTTAAGGTCCCAGTCTCTCCTCAGAGGCAACCAAGCTCCCGAGCAATGCACTGGAAGATTTGGGGTTTTTTTGTTTTAGGGATTAATAACACAATTTTTTCTTGCATAGATCATCGCAGCAGCAGCTAAATGTGAAATCAATTCCTGTACCACGCACTTGACAGGGCAATAACCCAAATGTTAATCTCAAGCACCCAACAAGGATTTGTGTCATTGTGCTGGATATCTGCTGCTGGAGACATATCGAGGAAAGAAACTGCCTGGGGAGCTGCTTATTTTTTTCCTTATTTTTCTCTCTTTTTTTATTTTATTAATCAAGAAAACTAGTACTTTTGAAGGGTTCCTGCATTGGTTTGGTAGGAGGAAGGTTGATGCCACACCAGTTAGCTGCTGTGGCGGTCGCCCCCACCACTGAGCGCAGTGCTGGACTGCCCTGGTTTGATTTGCCGGGCAATCCTGCAGGCGTGAGGGATGCTCTCTATTGCCTCTTGCTGTCACGGCCTCTCTGTTGCTTAGTTCACTCCATTATAGCCATAACCCGGTTATTTCTGCAAGGTTATTTCAGCTTTGCTTATTTTCAGTCAGGGTACTAGCAGCCTGTGCATCCCCGTGGTGCTTTCAGACGACTACAAAGCCCCCTCTGAGCCCTCCCTGCCCTCCCAGGCGGCCACGGTGCCATGGAGAGCTTTGAACTGACTCATCTGGAAGGCTTTGGTGAACATCTGGGCAATGTTGCTGGAGCTGTTCAAGGCACTGATGCCTGCTGCTGCCCGTTTTGCTCCCCAAAAGAGCCTGTACGGGAGAATGACTCACGTCTCAGCCACTCCAGCACCAAGCCCAGCGTCCCAGCCTAAACCACAACCATGGGCAGGGCTGAGCCAAGAGCCTGCACTGCCTTTGAGAGTCCTTCAAACCTACCCGAGGGGCAACAGCCTCTATTAGAGGGCTGGGACAGAGGCATGAGGTGACAACAACTTCACCTGCACCGGTGGGGTTCATCAGAGCTCATGCGTCAGACCCAAAACCACAGCAGGGAGGTAGGCAGAGCATCAAAGGTGGTTGAGTTATGTATGGGCAGCCATATGGGCTGCCCCAGCCCACCTCCCCTGCGAGGCATCTCCCAGGGCTTCCATCGAGTGTGTCCTGCGTGGGGCAGGCTGGGGCCACGTGCAGGAAAAGTTACTGCCATTCCTCGGGGAGGTGGGGGCTTCTTCAGCCTCTGCAGCTCAGCCCTGCCTCCTTCCTGCCTGTATCCTTGGGCATCCCTTCAAAAATAAATCTGCTAGGGGGAAAAATGGGGTCCATGTCGTTTTGCCTCATGTTTTGGCAATGTCCTGTGGCACCTGCTCATGCTGCTTGTGTTGACTCGGTGTTGTTGCAGGGCAGGCTGACGGATGGGAAGGGGAAAACCATTGACTGCAAGGATGCCATCTTTATCATGACCTCCAACGTGGCAAGCGATGAGATTGCACAGCACGCTCTGCAGCTCCGACAAGAGGCCATGGAGATGAGCAAGAAAAGGATCGCAGAAAACTTAGGTACTGTTTTTTTGATGTCATACTCCAAATCCCTCAAGAATCCACCTCCTTCCTAACATTAATTTGACACCAGCTCAGCCATCCTTCTGCCGGGGGGAGCACCCAGACCCTTCGGTTGCCTCTCCACTGCTCGCCCCTGCAGCTGGTCGACACTGACACGTCCTCCAGGCACTGCAGCTTTAGGGCAAGCCTCAGGGATGCTCCTCTGCCAGAAGGAAAGGCAGCTGCCTCTTCTTTTGTGTGTGTGTCTAGGAAGTCGTGCTGTTGCCTTCTAGGATGACCTGTTGCTGAGAAGTCCCACAGCCCTATCTCTACCATTCCCCCTCCTGTGATACCTCTGCTTTGGGCTTGCCCTGTTCTGAAATCCTCATTATATGAGATCACATCCTTCAGAGGGAGATCACATCTTTGGAGGAGGCTTTCTGTTCCACCTCTCAGTCTTCCTCATCCTGTGCGCTCTTCCTTTATCTCCTCACCCTTTTCATTCTTTCAGGACCCTTCCAAATGCTTTCTAGAAAAGTCTGGGGCTGGTACAGGTGCTCATATTAAAGAGGAAGAGTTTTGTTTCCTCACAGTCCTTCCAAAAACGACTGAGCTTAATCAATTTTACTTCGCCTTGGAATGGAGCCCTGGACCCACACATCAGGGTCTTGTAGAAAATTTTCCAAAAATGTGAATTAGGTAATAAAAGGAGAATCGAGTAGAGCAAGGGCAGCCTCTAATATTTGAACTACACAACTCCGCTGAAGGCAGCAGAGTCCCAATTTATGCGCGATCCTTCACCATCCAGTTGGTGATAACTGCAGTGGCACCAGGAGGCCCCAGGGACTGGTAGGTCTCTGCTGTGCCAAGGAGGGATGGACGGACAGTGGTCGGCAATGCCTGCACCAGGGGCCGTCCCTTCTAGCTCTAAAATGCATGGCAGTTTGTGAGCACAGGCACTAGCACAGGGAAACATCATCTCCATCACGTGCTGCTGTGCCTGTGGATAACCAGGCAGCCACAAACAATGGCTGCATCCCTTGTTTTGTCATCAGTTTTAAATCAGTTTTGGGTTTTTTTTTAAGACCCATTTATGGTCTTAAATATCTGGACATGCATCTTCTATAGGGTACCTCACAGTATGTGCTGTCACAGATACACCATATTTCCTAAAGGTCAGTCTCGAGAGTTCTGCTCACCAGTGGAAATGCCCGGAGAAGCTGTGGTGTGCAGTGTGTGCTGTGGCTGTGCCCGGGAAACAACCACAGCCCTCTGCATCAGCTCCATGGGAGCAGGAAAAAATGTTAGGTTTTAGTGTCAAATGTATTTTCCAGCTTCTTTCTCACTGTCTCTTCCTTTTTATTTTGAGAAGTTGATGCCAAAGCTGGCTTAATTCAGAATCTTTAAACTTCAATCAAACTAGGTAAAGGACAAAGCATGCCTGCAACTGAACTTTCAAGAATAACATTTTAAAATGCCAAGCGCTTTTCTCCTAAATGAGGAAAGCATTGAATTTTAATTTCTAGAACTGTACAGCAGACAGCTGCAGTGAGCGAACGGCAGTGAGAGAGCATAGCCGGAAAATGCATTTCGGCTCAGAAGCCTGCCCTCAATTGAGTTTCGTGGAGCTCCTTGCAATTTACTGAGTTCTTGGCTTGGAGATGCTCTTGAAGGCAGTGGCCAGGTCAGCGTAAGTGCCTGGGTGGGCAGATAAATGGAAAGATAGAGGGAAGGAGCTGCTTCTGCAGCATCTCTGCGTCTGCGAGTGGAAGCAGCAGATACTAGTGATGGCAAACCTGAATATGGGGGGCAGCTCTGTCTCTTCTGCCTTCTCCAGCTCTCCTCTTCCAGAATGCCATGCCAAGTTCCTGTGACTTAGTGAAAAACCCCTTGGTGTCTTTTAGCAGAAAACAGAGAAGTGAAATGGGCCAAATCCTTATAACCAAAGAGCCCCCCCTGCTCCATTTAGACCGCTCGGATGGGCCATACTGTCTATCTCCCCCATCCTGTGCAGCAAACTCCCCACCCAGGATGCAAACAAGAACCACGAGCGTGCTCGTGTCTGCCATGGGGAAGAAGGAGAAGAGGTGATTTCAGAGCGCACAGCACCGCTTTGTTGCATGCTGGCACCAGTGTGGGTCTGGTGGAAGAGAGCTCCTTCTGCCGCTGCTGGGGGTGCAACAATCTGCGCCAAGACTGTGAGCTGGAAAGGGCTCCCAGCACCCAGCATGGGTCTTTCTCCACCACCCAGCGTGTCAGGATCCTATCCAGAGCACCTTGGATGCAAGGGATCTCCCAATGAGCATCCTTGCATTAAAATAGCATGTGGAGTTAAATGCATGAAGATGTAGGAAGGAATGAGGTGGTAAAGACAAAGGGAAAAGCAAATTTGGGCAGCAGACAGGTAAACCTTGCATTTGAGCTGTCTGTTCTGAGCTGGGATTCGGGAGCCAGCCAGACCCTGGCTCCATCTGCAGTCAGCTGAGGGAAGTAGACTCTGGCCAGAGGCAGAGTTGTGCCACAAACCATCTGAACAGGGGTTTTGCAGTTTGCTGAAGGGACCAAGGACTGCTCCTCTGTGCCTGACAGAGCTGCGGGAGCCTACGCAGAGCAGCCACGGGTGATGATGTGCCCTGTGTGTAATGTAATTAGCACCGGCTCCCAGACCCCAGCCACCGGTCAGGGTCTGTGGAGGCCGAGTGAGGACTCCTGCTATCCGAAACCTCCGGGTGGCAGCTCCTGGGGGTGTAGAGCAGAGAGCGGAGGCAGAGCCGGAGCTCTTTTGCCATGCAAGTGAAACATGTCAGTGTAGGGTGCACCCAACATGTGCAGGGGCAGCCACGGGAGACCCAGACCCGCTGTCCAGAGTGTCAAGCGCAGGGACACCCCACTACTGAACCAAACGTGGATCGTGGTGGGTGTGGAGGTTCCAGGTCTGTTCTGAGGTCCCCTCTGGACCCCCACCTCACCCCCCTGCTCAGCCTCTGGCTCCTTGTCATGCTGCTTTGCTCATCCATCCTCCAGGAGCTGGGCAGATGGGAAGCCCATGTTCCACCTTACCCACTGACACCCCATGTCCTCCTGTCTTCCAGATGATGTCCAGATGACCGACAAGATAACCATCTCCAAGCAGTTCAAGGAAAAGGTTATTCGCCCCATCTTGAAGGTACGAATGATTTTTTTCATGGCTTATGTTTCAGGTGTCCTGAGCTTTGGTCACTCAGTCATTCGATGCAATACCCATGTTCCTCACCCAGCTGTGAGATCAGTGACATGACGTCGTTTTTTAATTTTCACCCACTAAGAAGTAAGGTCAGAGTCCAGCAGAAACAAATAACAGCTTCTTACTCACTCCCTGTCCTCTTGTATTAGAGCAACAACATGAGACAAGAAGGGGAACATGGGGTGGGAAGTGCTACACTGGGATTTTGGGGGTTCGCTGCTCTCCCAGGGTCACTGTCTGCTCAGCTCCTGCGCTGCTGCAGAGGGGCCAGGAAAACCTGACCACAGCAACACATCCTGATGACATTAAGTTTCTTTAAAATGTTTCTGAAGCACTTCATGGTGCTGCTCGCCTGGCAGCTCCTACAGAGACCAAGAATTTGACCTCCCGGCAGAAGGCTCAGATCGGAGCCTCAGAACTGAGAGACCCTGAGAGCAGCGAGGGGTGTTACTGTAAGTGGCTTAGGCAGGAGCAGACAGCAGAAGAGGCTGGAGCTGCGCTTACACTGCGGGAGAGATTTGTTTCTAGTTCCTCTTGCCATCTCCGGAAGAATTAATTCCTTCTATAAGCCATGCTGAGAGGTACTCCTGGTGACCTGAGATCTGGCACCATGGATTTCCAGCTCCATGGCATGGGGTGGGATGGCTTCAGGGCCTCGCCACATGGATGTGTGAGCTGTCGGAGGTGGAGGTGATCCCTGGGGAGCTCATTCAGCAGCGTCACTGTCACTACTGTCCCTATCAGGGTCACCAGTCCTGTCCCCGTTGACCTTCCCCCCTTGTCCCTGCAGGCTCACTTCAGACGAGATGAGTTCCTGGGGAGGATCAATGAGATTGTCTATTTTCTCCCTTTTTGCCACTCGGAGCTCATCCAGCTTGTCAACAAGGAGCTGAATTTTTGGGCCAAGAAGGTAAAAACCATCCATGGCTTTAGAGGTAACTTCTCAAGCAATGTGTGAGCAGGAGGAGATCCCTGCCCAAGCCTTCATCCTCCTGATGTGGATGCAGAGTGAATGTATATCTTTACCATAGTCTCACATGCTCTTCAACATGAGGGGACCCTACTCAGGAGGGCAGGGACCTCTTGGGACGGTGGGGCATGGTTCCTCCTGTGTTGGGGCAGCAATGAGCTTCGGGGCACGTTCAGAGACATTATTTGTCTAATTGGTCCTTGCACATCTGAGCTCTCCGGGGGGCCTAAATAGGAATTAGGGGACCACTTGCTTTGGTCGGTCTGGCCTGGTGGAGCTCTCGGTGCCCTTTCTTCCTTGGCCCAGGACTGCTCACACCCCACCGTGCTGCCCGTGGTGTCCCCACTGCTCAAGGAATGGGATGCCAGGGTTGCTTGAAGGCATCAATAACTTCCTCTTCTTCCTCACCCGGCAGGCCAAGGCAAGGCACAACATCACCCTGCTGTGGGACAGGGAGGTCATGGACGTGCTGGCTGACGGCTACAACTTGCACTACGGTGCCCGGTCTATCAAACACGAGGTAAAGCCAAGGACGGAGCACGGGTGAAGCCCATGGCATCACCTCCAGCCCTGCTCTGCACAAGGGGAGTCAGGAAGGGATTATTGCTTGGGTCTGTCCTGCAGAAGAGCGTCCCCACGGCTCCCAAGGGCAAACATTCATGGTCTGTGGGAGGAAACAGCACAGCCAGTACACTCCAGAAAGAGACAGGGAATAAGTAGGATGAGCAGGAGATTATGGGACCCTGCGCTACCCAGAGGTGGGAAGGAGAGCTGCCCGGCTCCCTGGGAGGCTGCTCACAGGCGTTTTCTGATGGGAGCTGGTTTTATTTCTTCAGGTTGAGCGGCGCGTTGTGAACCAGTTGGCAGCTGCCTACGAGCAGGACCTGCTGCCGAGGGGCTGCACCTTGAGGATCACGGTGGAGGACTCGGACAAGCATCTGCTGAAAACCAAGGACAGCTCTTCCCCTGGAGCGGAAAAAACAAAGATGCCCACCCTGCGGTTGGAGATAGTGGAGAAAGACAGCAAATCCCGAAAACTGGACATCCAAGCGCCTCTGAACCCAGAAAACATTACTTACTTCTTGTAGGCAGCAACGAGCACTCCTGGAGCACACTTTGCCCCAGCAGCTGCCTGCGGGTAGCGCGGGCTGACAATAAAATACCGCGAGACTCGGAAGTGTGCAATGTGGCCATGTCAGTGAGGGCAGGCAGTAGGTAGGGCAGGGGCAAAGCTGTGTTCCTGCTACCTCCGCTGCCTGGAGCCAGGCACGGGCAGGCAGGAGCTGCCTGATCAGCCTGCGCCTGCTTACTCTGGGGTGGGCGCAGAGGGCTCTGGAGCTGTAGCTATGGGTGGTGAGGTGCCACGCTGCCATTCAGGAACATATAGGTGGAGGGTCCTGGGGTTTCACTTGGCACAAGGGAAAGCATCGAAGCTTTTTAAGAAAGGGGAAAGCAGATTTCAGACCTTATGGGAGCTGGGGTGTCCGGCTCCGGTAGGATTTGTCATTCCTTAAAGAGGAGGCTTGCTGCGGAGGCTGGGTTTGCTGGGTTGGACTGCAGCTGGAAAGGGGTAGGACAGGGATCGAGTGAGCGACAGCTTCATTTTAAAAGCCACCAGGCACTCTGACTCTGTATTTTGCCCGCTTCTCTTTATTTATTGGCAATAAACACGGCGTGCACATACGACCTGTGTCTGGTGTGGGCGCGGAGAGGACAGGTAGAGCAGAGGTGGGGATTGCCTGTGGGCAGGACACGTCCCTGGGGGGCTCCTGCATCTCCTGCTCCTTGCTGGGAGCCGTGAACAACACCGACACATCTCCTTGTCCTGGCTGGGCAACTTCCCAGTGCAAACCCCTCGCTAAATCGTCCCCGCTGCTTTGCTTCTGACCCGATTCAGGGAAATATTTAATATCTCAGGCTTAACCTAGCTGCCCAAGCTGTCCCCAGTGTCAGAGCTGGAGCAAAGGTCCCCAGCCCTGACCAATTACAGTGGCTGTCAGTGGGCAGAATTGGATTTTTTCTGTGTGTTTGTATGTGGGAGGTTTTGCTCTCCCAAGCTGTGAGCTCTGCAGGGACTGATCCTGCCAGCAGCCACATTTGCAGGTCCCCAGGGCTGGCTGGGGGCTGACCCTGCCCCCCCCACAGTCACTTCTCCAGGGACCTGTCAGCAATGGGACAGGGATGGAGGGACATAGGGGTGAGGGTCTCCCCTGCGAGCCATTTTGGGGTGCATCTCCTCCGAGGTGGAGGAGGGTTCCAGCGCCAAGGGCAGCACTGCAGGGCTAATGGGGCAGATGGGGGGAGTTGTTGAGGGAAAATCCTCTGGATTTCTCCAACTTCCTCTGAGCATCCGGCTCCAAGCCTTGCTGGGGTTTGGGGGAAAGTGTGGCCCAGTGGTGTGAGCGATTCGGGGGTTTGCCTTCCTTGGCGAGGGTCCCGGTGCGGGGTCACGCCTGTCGGTCCTGGGCGCGTGGGATGAGGTGTCCCGTGGTGGGTACCGGCTGGGTTCGAGGTGCGCGGTCACCACCATCACCCCGCCGGGAGAGGAGCCCTCTCTGCCGCCGAGACAGCGGTGCTTCACCGACACAGCACCCACTCCTCCAGCTGGTGACATGTCGCAGAGGCAGATTATGAAGAGTAAGAAATTAAATACAAAAGGAAATCAAACCAAATAGCCTTCTCAAATCAATAAGCCTTAAGTCACAGTCCCTCCGGCATGGGGACAGGGATGGATCAGGGGTGACGGCCCCATCCAACATGGCAAAGCCACTATGTGAAGTCCCCCTGCCAGAGCATCCCCGCTGGTGCTGCCAGGCGTGGCTTTAGTTTTGGCACTGGCACTCATTTTCCAGGGGATACGTGAAGGTTTGGGGGGGGGGGGCTGCCTTGACCCACCTTTTCACCCTGGTCGCCTTTTCCTGTCATGGGTCTTAATTCAGTAATGCTGCTGGGGACCTGAGCACTGCCTTCGGCCAGGGCTGCAAATGGGGAAGGAAGGCTGGAAAAGGGGAAAAGCTCTGCCTAAATGGAGCTGCTGGGATGGCAAGTGGAGCTGCCCCATCTTGGGCATCGCCCGTGCTGGTGGTCCATGGGTGCCCTGCTCCTTTCAACCCCCGTCCACTGCCCGAGCAGCTTTGGGCTGGCAGCGGGTGGGTGATGGAGCAGGAGAGGATGAGCCTGTTCCCACCCAGGCGCTGGGATGTGGGGGCTGGCAATGCCCAGGGATCAGCTGGATGGGGAAGGGGGTCTCCGGCAGCAGGATTTGACCTTTACGAGCCACTCAAGGTGACCAGCAAGAGGGCAGTGGGACAGCCAAAGCAGGTTTCTCTTCCCCTGAAAGGGTTTTGGAGCTTCACTGGGCTTCTCTGGAACCCTCCCAAATTCAGATTTTTCATGGGAGGACCAGGAAGAGATTCAGCCGCTGCTGTGGTGGGCATAGCTGACTCCAACCCGACGGGTGGGAAGGGGAGTTTGCTGGCTCGGTCCCTGCTTCTTCCCCTGTGCCACAGCCAGGGAATCACACACCCCTTCGCGTCCTTGCCCCAGGCGGGCAAGGCTGCAGAGGGGCCAGGGCTTGGGGAGGGTGTCCCCGAAAACACCGGGGTGCCTCGCAGGGCAGCAAGCAGCATCCCCAAACCTTCTGTCACCTCCAGCAGTGACGAGACCCTGGCGAATGCCAGCCCCATGCTCTGCACAGACATGGGGGCTCGGCTGCTTCCGGCCAATGTCCAGCACCGCACCGGCCCGGTGCAGGATGGGCAGCCCTGGGGTGGCACCGCAGGGCAAAGCTGGGATCCCCGGGAACTCCCCAGGTGCCAGCCAGGCCCCAAACCTGCAAGGAGAAATGGGGCTGAAAAGGGGTCTTGCAGCAGTGGTAAAGTGTGTGATGGGGTGGCGGGGGCAGAGCTGAGGGTGCTGTGCCGGGCAGTGCTGCACGACGCTGAGGCTGACCCCAGGGATGAAGGCAGATTCCCTCCATGCAGCCCCAGGGAGCAGCTCCCTCCCCAGCACCCCTGTGCCACCACACCAGCACCCCCACGCCGGCACCGCCGGGCTCGGGGCACCCGGTGCCGTGGCTCTTGTGGGTCCTCCTGCACGGCAGCGGGAACAGGCCCCATCCCTGCCTGGAGCTGCTGGCTGGGATGCAAGGAGAGCAGGGAGCCCACGGCCAGGCATGGTGTGCCACGCTGTGCCATGCCATGCTATGAAATGTCATGCTGTGGCATGTCATGTCACGATATGCCATGTCATGCCATGCCATGCTGTGCTGGGTCACACTGTGCTGTGCCATCACGCTATGTCATTCTGTGCCACACCACGCTGTGCTGTGCCATGCCATGTCAGGTTGTGCCGTGCTGTGCCGTGCCACGCTCTGCTGTGCCATGCCATTCTGTTCCATGCTATGCCAATCTCTGCCGTGCTTTGCTGCGTCATGCCATGCTGTACCATACCATGCCATGCCGTGCCATGCTGTGCCACGTCCCAAGGGAGTACAGCCACGAGGGCCCCATCAGCAGGAGCATCCCGGCCGGGACGGCACTTGGGGGGCACATGGGGCCCTCCCTGATCGTTTTATTTGTTTTTAATTGTGCTGGAGGCGCGGCGCCGGCGTCCTCTGAGCAAACAGCAGCGGGTGAAAGGGCTCCCTCTGACAGATCAAATAAATGTGCCACCGCAGCCGGGCCGGGAACAATAAACGGGAGGCAGGATCCGGAGGGGAGAAACATCAGGCTGTGACGGGGGAAATTCAATTACCGCCAGCCTTCAGCCCCGTGCCGGGCTCCTAATTCGATTAGGGGCAGGCGAGCTCCAGCGAGCGGAGGGGCCTCGGTGCAGCCCCGGCTTGGGGCTTTGTCACCGGGAACAAAGCGGCGGTGGCGGCCGGAGGCCTCCGGCACCACTGGGCCGTGCACGGTGCGGGACCAACTGCCCCGGCGGCAGCGGGGCAGGGACCTGCTGGGGGTCTGCGCCACAGCATGGGTGTCCCTGTGGGGTGACACGGCCTGGATGGGACGTGGGATGATGCCATGGGTGCTGCCATCAGGTGCTGCTACAGGGCATGGGCTGGGCCTGGTCAATGACCCCAACAAAGCTGGGACTTGAGCTGTGCAGGGTACCTGACTTGTGCCCAAAGGGGGTCCCGTCAGAGAGGGTCCCATCAGCCCTCCCAGCTCCAGAGGGGGCCCAGCCCACCCGGACACATGGACATGGCCCTCGGGTCATGGACGGTTCCCAGAGCCTGGCGGGATGGAGGGACGGGGCGTCCCTGTCCCCAGCTCCTGCACCATGCCCAGTCCTTCCCGCTGCCATTGGCACCTGTTTCATGGGGAGGGGTGTCAGCCTGTGCCCCCACCCCATCGGGCCATTCTGGGGACAACCAGGTGCCCCTGCTGCCAGCACCCATCTTCCTTCACCCACCGAAATCAGGAGGTTTTACCCACATTTGCATCCCAGCTCCCACGGGAGCCACAGGGATGCAGGGGGTCTCCCTGGCACTGCCCCTCACCCCTGGCCGGGCAGGGACGGGGTGCCCCAGCTCACCCACCATCCCCCTCCCCCCCATATCCCCCCCTTGTCCCCCTCCCTCTCCTCTCCTCCTTCATCCCCCCCATCCTCCTCACTCCCCCCCTTCCCCGTTCTGCCCCTGGCTCTGGGTAGCAATAGCAGCAGCTCCTTGCGTGGCAGATTGCTACCTAATTAGTTTAGAGGGAAAACTTAATTGAATTAACTTTTTCACAACTCCAGCAGCCTGACAGTCGGGGCTCTCGCTCAGCCGCCAGCCTCCAGCTCCATGATCTAATTAACTTGTTTAGCAACCTGCCCGCTCGGCCGGCGCAGCTGGGGTGGGCGCGGGTGGGGAGCACCCATCAGCCCCTGCCCGCACTCACGGGTGTCCTGAGGGTCCCATGGCGAGGGACCGGACCCGGACCCAGACCTGGCTCACCCGGGTGGCAGCGGTGGCAGTTCCCAGTGAGGGGAGCCTGGCCGGGAGCGGGGGCATGAGCTCTGCCCTGCGGGACATGGGGCAGGAGAGACGTGGGGCAGAATGCAGGGCAAGACATGGGTCAGGGCATGGGGTTAGATGCAGGACAGGGCATGGGGTTAGATGCAGGACAGGGCATGGGGCAGGAGATGGGGCAGGACACGGGACAGGGCATGGGGCTGGATACAGAGCAGGAGATGGGGGAGGACAGGTCCTGGGCAGCCCCCAGGACAGCGGGGGCCGGTGCCAAGCACCCCAGTCCCATCCCGGTGCCCAAGCAGAGACGAGCCCCATGGGCAGAGCAGGTCCGGCAGGCCCTGGGCAGGGTCTGGCCTTTCCCCCCGGCCCGGGGCGGGGGGGCAATGCCCGCTGAGAGGGCAGGGACCCCCCTCCTCCCCGGGCTGTGGGCACAAAGCCCTTAGCTGGGCGTAATTAGACTTTTAAATCCTCTTTAGTGAAAGTGTTTGTCTTGAAAATGTCCCCAAATCCTCCCCAAATCCCCCCCCTGCACCCCCTCCAGTGCCACTGAAAAGGGGCAAAGCCTCTACCTTGGCCTCAGCCGGGCAGGGGGGCCCAGCGGGGCAGGGATGAGGCGCTTTGAAATGCAACCGGGCTGCAAACTGGGGGGGGGCAAAGGGCCCCGGGAGAGGAGAGGAAGGGGGGGGCTGAGCACCCCCTCGCAGCCCCCTGCTCCCTCCCATGCACCCGTGGGTGGTGGGGTGCCCCTGCTGCCCTCTTGCTCCTGGGATGCTCAGCCCCAGAGCTGCTCCCCCCACACATGAAGGGGACCCCCGTGTCCCATCCCCCACCCTGGACGGTGGTCCCAGGGGACGGTGGGCCCTTCCCGCAGCACATGCCCTGGAACCTTCCCGGGATGCCACCTGCGAGGGCGGCCGGTGCTCAGGGACACTGGGGACCCGGCGGCCACTGGGGGTGGGGTGGATGGATGG